GCAACATAGATATTTTGTATCTTTTAGCCACTAAAACCACTTCACCGGTCACAAGATTTGTGACTGGTGATATTTTTTATACAAATTCCACTTTGTTTCCCTTGTCACGGATTTGGGAAACACTCAGCAAGCTGTACTTCAACCTGTTCACATAGTACACATTTTCAATTGAGTGAGAGGGAGACTTCCCAATCCTTCCAACTCCCAGAATGTATCCCTTCTTGCCGTTTCCAAAGGACACGCTCCCTCCTTGCAGGGCCTTCAGTGAAAGAAAATCATTTGTGCTTCCAGTCATGTGCTTTGAGAAACCACTATCCATGTACCATTGTTGGTTGCTCCTTGCACTAGGAAATCAAGGGTTAAACATAGGAACCCAAACAAGTTTGGGTCCCTTGTAATGAGGAAAGGGGTGAATGAAGGCTCTTTTGGTCCAAGCAGGCATCACACGTTTTTTATATAAGGGACCAAGTTCTCTAGCAGTAGTTACCTTTTTAGCAAAAACTTTGTTTTTCTGTTGAGACTGAAATCTGGCCCTACAGGTTTCCTTAAAGTGCCTGGTGTTACCACAGTGAGTGCAGAGCCAATTATCAGGTACAGTAACATACTTGCTATGAGGGTTGTAGGGAGTCTTTTCCCTTTAGGACCCGGTTCCATACCTATTTCCCCCATTGTTTGTATACATGGCAGTGATAGCATCAAAGGACCAGGTCCACTTGAGTGATTTTTCAATATCACTTTTAACTCTACCTAGATCTTCCTGAAGTTGTTTGTTTTTCTCGAGTTCAGCACGCATACTAGATTTCACTGATTTTAGCTCATCTTCAAGCCTAAGATGTTCCTCATTTACAACTTACTTTCCCTTTTGAGTAATCTCATGCCTACCTTCTCCTGTTAGTTCCTCAATTGTTTCTTTTATGTCTACAGCTACTATTAATAAGTCATCTCTCTCATGCTCTATGTTAGCAACCTTTTCAGTTAAAGCTTCTTTCTCTTTTTTAAAACTCAATGGTCTCTTTTAGATCGACCACAACAACCATTAGATCATCTCTCTCATGTTTTTTGTTTGCAATTTTTTCATTTAAGGCATCTTTTTCCTTCTTCAAACTCTCAATGGTTTCTTTTTAATCGACTACAACAACTACTAGATCATCTCTCTCATGTTCTGCTTCTCCTAGTTCCACAGTTAATGCATTTTTATCGTTTATAAGACTATGATAAGCATCAATTAAAATATTTGCCACAGACATAAGTCTTTTTGGAGAATAAGACTTCAGATTTCTTTGAACATCTAAAAAGTTTACCTCATCAGCTTCATCATCATCAGATTTTGCCATCAGAGCAAAGATAGAGTCACACTAAGCTGCTTCACTTTCTACTGCCATCATGAAGCTGTCACCTTGATCAACATCCTCTCCAGATTTGCTGGAAGAGTCTCCCCATGCAGCAAGATCTTGTTTCACAACATTGTCAGCGACATCCTTTCTCTTGAATCGTTTGTTAGAAACCGGTTCCTCTTAGATGCGTTGTCTGTGTTCTGTTTGTACTGATATTGCTTGAGGAGACGACAATCCTTGATGAAATGTCCTGACTTACCGCACTTATGACATAGGTCATAACCTCTTGGCTTGCTGGAGCTGCCCCTTTTTGGAATACCTCCATTTCTGCGAACCATTTTCTGAAATCTTTTTGTCAGGTAAACCATATCAGTATCCTCACCACCTGAGTCATTGCTGCCCCCTTGAGAACTAGGTTCTTCTCCCTTTTGGGCTCTCTTCTCTCATTATCCTTCTTCTTCTTCATTTCATAAGTCTTCAGACTGCCAATAAATTAATCAATGGTCAGCTTCTGCAGATCTTTTGCCTCTGTGATAGCATTTACTTTGCTTTCCCAAGAACCAGATAATACACTAAGTATCTTTTTGACAAGTTGTTCCTGGGGATGATTTCTCCCAGAGAGTGAAGCTCATTGATGATAGATGTAAAGCGAGTGTGCATATCTTGAATGGACTCATCATCCTTCATCCTGAAAAGCTCATACTCTCTGGTTAGCATGCTTTGAATGCTTTACTTGTATTGTCCCTTTATGAGCTATTTGGAGAGCTTCTCAAATCTCCTTAGTAGATTGACATGCTGAAATCTTGTTGTATTCATCTGGTCCAATACCACAGACGTCAGACGAGGATTTTCTTTGATCGAAAGTTCTTCTCTATAGCCTTGTGGTCAGCATCGTTGTATTCCTTTCTTGTTTTGGGAACTGTCACTACTGGGTCTCCAATGGTCTTCGTAGAAATGAAGGGTCCATCGCAGATAACGTCCTAGAGCTCTGAATCTTCAGCCATGATTAAATCATGCATCCATGTCGTCCACCATCCATAGTACTGGTCGTTGAATCTTGGTGGTCTGTAGGTAGATTGACCTTCTTTAAAGTTTGGTGGAGCAGCCATGAGGATCCTTTCTAGGTGTTAGCCTGATAGAAAGAACCTGCTCTGGTATCAATTGATAAAAACTAAGGGTCCACCAAACTATATAGAGAACCAGGTTCTCTATTAGTTCCCACAGAACACATGCATACTGTAGTAAGTAAATGACACAATGGAGTTTTACGTGGAAAACTCCCAGCTCACGGGATTAAAAACCACGACCTACCCTTGTAGTATTTCAACTTCACTACTGAGCAAACTTCATATTACAACCTACTGTAACCTAGGAATTAACCTCTAATCCCTCACTAGCTTGTAACAACTCTATTACAAGCCCCTTTGTAATAACTCTATTACAAAGCTCACAATTCGACTAACTCTAGCCAAGACACCAGCACAATGGTTTATGATTTTACAAAGGTTTCCTACACAATGCTTCTAAGTTCTAACTAAGCTAAGTAGGAATTACAAGTAAAGTACTTTAACAAAGGTGCAACACAACTAAGGACATGTAATGATTCAATACAGGGAACTGGTCCATTGTTATGTTGTTCTTTGTCGTTGATGCCCTTGAGAATCACTTGCCAGATTTATTAATCACTTGAGAGAATGCTTGATTGATTCTTGAATGTGTGTGTGATATTTTACCTTTGCTTCAATGTTAATATTGCATAGGTGACATCACTTGAATGATACAAGCATGTTTGGTACAAGGGCATTCCCCATAAAGTTGACTGCTGCACTATTTGCACTATTGCGTGTGCAGGCAGCAACTTTACAGCTGTTGGGGGTTGACTGATACAGTCACCGAGGAAGCTGGTGTCCATCTGTTTCCTCTGCTGTTTCTCTGATTCTGAAGAGTTGAACCACGTCCCCAGCTTGAGACTTGTCATTCTTAAATACTTGTGGATGTGTAACAGGTTTCTCATATGGTTCTGATCATTAAATTGTTAGATCATCAAAACATATCAGGATGCATATAACCTATCAGAATTGATAGCCTTTCCTTTACCCTTTGTCATGTTTCGGTCGGAGTTGCCAGAATTGTCTATAAGCGTGCTTGTAAGCCATATCCGGGTGGAATTTTTTTGCTTCGGGCAAAGCACAACTTATTATGAATTATTGTTCCTTTTACATGCTCAATGTTGTTGCGCAGTTTTTTTTATACATATTTTTCCTTTGCAATATTATTAGTACTTGTTGTTTATAGTGAATTATTTTTACAATATGTAAAGCTTTTAACTTCAGAAAAATACACGTTGATAATATTTGTTTATTTTGCTAAAGGTTAACTCAAGTTAGTAAGATGTTATCCATGTATTTGCAATATGAAATTTGAAATTTTATTTTCTAATACGAAAATTTTAGTAGTTTAATATAAAGTTTGAAAATATTTGAATAAAAAAATTGAAAACTTTGAAAGGAATCAACTACATTTTTAATGTCATCATACAAGGAAATAATGACGATTTTATTAATTGAAAAGTTTAGGTAGTTAGGAAATAATGAGTTTTTAGATATAGATTGTAACTTTTTGATAGAGGTGGTAGTTTTGTAGTGGTTAAAAAACACATCCCTTGAAGAAACAAAAATTAACTGTGATATAAAAAATTAAAATAAAAACTTGAAAACAAGATTTGATGCACTCCTACGTCATTGTACACAATAATGAAAATTTGTATTAATTAAAAAGACTTGTGAAATTGTATACAATTTTCCTAAAGTGACTGTAAAAGAAGATAATGATTTTTTACTAAATTTATGAATTTTTTCTATCAAAAGAGAAACAAAGTAACAATAGAAAACTAGCTAGAAATCAAACGAGGGAATAAAACCCCAATAATAACTCCCGCAATATGCGATCAAATGATCGGAGGCACAAGTGTCGTTTTAAGAAATTGTAGAGTTGAAAATGAAATTTACTACATTCTGAATATCATTATACAAGAAAATAAAAAAATTTGATTAATTAAAAAGATCAGATAATGATAACAAAGAAATAATAAAGTTTTTATAAATTAATTAAAACTTTTTGAACGAACCAATTTTCTTATGGCATGCCAGAGAACTACATTATTTGCAACTTGAAAAAGTAAATTAGAAACTCCTCCTTTCTCTCCATATTCTCTCTTCACTTGTTCATGTAACATCCATTTCACAATGAGGAAAACTAACATTAACATAGCAATGGGAACAGTGTAAACAACTTAAAAGAGTAGCAAACCCACCAACTTAAAAGACTTGGACTATTTAGGGCATATTTGGACCTCATTTTGCAAGCTGATCTCCTTTCCATGGAGGAGGCCTAAGAAATTTAGCTTTCAAAGTAACACTCACATAATGGAAAAGTTGAACATGGATATAAAGACCAGACAAGATTGTCGAGGCAAGAGCCTGAATAATGGTCAATCCATCTTCTTACTTGTTACTCATCGATTGCAAGCTCTAACATTATAAACATTTTTACATTTGTGTGACTCTTTAATTGCAAAAGACTTGTTTCTTGAAAGATATCATTGGCCGTATCTTATAGTGTCTCTACTAACAGAAGATGAAATGCTTACAAATCAAATAGTACTTGTCAGAGTGCTAAAAGTTAGGTAACAGTACTTCATGGTCTTTGATAAAATACAATAAGCATGTAGTTATTCAGCACAAAGTTAATAAGAAATGTTACGAAAGAATGAACAATACAAGAAAAAGAAGGCTTCACCAGACTCTATACGCATGTTTTGGTCGGCATTGTTAAACTTCTAGTCAAATTCTAAGTTCATAACTTAAATCATATCAAATATTCATAGTAAACTAAGAAGAGGGCATCTGGAGTATCTTTAGGTAGGCTGTTTATGTAAAGATAGAACCGCAACATGTCCTCATTTGAAAGAGTTTCCTGGTCAACAATGTCGCCATTGCCCGTGAGAACCCACAAGTCCCCTGAGTTCACTCTTTTGAGGTTTCCTCTGCAAAATGGGCAGGACTCGGACCTTAAGTTCCTGCAGCAGAAATCATGGAATGAGAAGATGACCAAAAAACTTATTCTTTTGGCACCAAAAAGTAATAATGAGCGATCCAGAAAAAGAAAAAGAGGGACAAGAATATCACTTGCCAGTCACGATAGCAATTAATGCACATTGCATGACAGCAGTTTGGCAAAACTATTTTGGCGCACTGTTCTAAGCAGATTCCACATTCATCTTCTTTCTCTAGATCAGCATCGAAATGCTTTTTCTCTTGTACTTTCTTCCCAACAATCGTTTTTGACACTTGAGGTTCATCTTGACTACAATCGTGCTCTGATGAGCTATCATGTAGTCGCTGGAGAGATGGTAATAGAACCGCTGCAAATTGCTATTTGTCAGAGAAATAAGTGGCCACATAAACGGATATAGTTTGAGACAAACGTTGACTTAAAAATGGAGACGCACAATTAACAAAAAAATATCAAAAAATTCGCCCAAATCGAGTTACTATGAGGTTTCTCTATTTACTAATGGGATGAAAACAGATACTCATTAACTGAAATTCAATCCAGGAAAGTATATCTCATTAAGCACATCAGAAAACAATGTCAAGAAGATTTAATTTTACAGCTCTTAGACTACCAAAACCTTTTTTTTCTTCGGCTTAATCTTAGACTGCTAGTTGAAGGCTTGAAACTGGATAAATGACAAACGGTACATACCATAGAATTCTCTAATGCTTGCTTTCCTCCCATCTAAATGAATCTTCTTCTTGCTATTGGGGATAACCTAAAAGATATCACGATCTTTATTTCAACAAAATATGACGATATCATCTTAGTATAATAATAACCTTAACCTACTAGAACTATGGGAAGAAATAAACAGCCCGAGAATAGAGAACAAACCTTGTATACAACTATGTGGAAGAGATTGAAATAACTTGGAAGTAAGCATGTGCATGAGCAACCCATCCACTGGAGCAAGAACACAAGTATTGGTGCCAAGTTATTGTACACCAATTTCATTTGTAGACAAGTGCCATTCTTGAACCTTGGAATAGAAGCTGCCCTGGAACACGTGATTTAGAGTGACAAAAAGATTATCTTTCTTGTTTAAGACTGCAGCCAGAACAACAATTTGTCCAGCGACACATTTTAGCAATTGGCTATATAAATCACTAGCAAATTCAACGATTTAAACCCAGAACAGTTGAAACAATAGAAAGGAAATTGAAGATTGCAGATACAAAGACTTTCATACTCTCATACAGATAGCAAAAGGTACTATTCTGAGACCTACTTAGTGCGTTCAACAATATTCCTTACCATCAATAACTCTTGCATTGCAGATTACTCTTTCATTGTGTTGTCTCATTATTTAATTTTTTAACTATATGTGAACTTGATATGTCAAAAGTTACAAAAGAGAGAACTTCTAATATCGCCAATTAAGGAATTCATAAGGTTTTAACTGTGATAAAGTTTTAAATCGCTGAACTTAATAAAAGCTGAAATTTAACTGACCAAAACCACCTCTCGGACCATATAACATAATCATTTGAAGCTATTGCAAAATTTCAGCTAGTCATAGTGCTATCTGTGGAACAGCATACAGACCAGTGATAAAAAATTCATTAGTCCATTCCCGTAATTCGGCTATATAAACGTTATATTATGTTAGTAAGGGGAAGAAAGAGGGAAATTCCAAAAAATGCATTGAAGATGAAAAAAGAAAAATGAGGAGCCTTTTTATTTTGGGCTCACTACCATAGAGTAACAAAAGTTTAGTTACTCCAGATTTTCATCTCGATTCAAACGAAGGAAAGAAAATAGCTATGGTTAACTTTCTCCTCCACCTGCTCTTCCATTTTCCTTTCCTTGAACAATGAACTGCCCACATGAACAAAGTAAAGCTAAATCGAAATTCCATTTGGAAGCCGAAGAAGGTTACTTCCAGAATCCAAGGAAAGGAACAAGAAATCTTGTAGAAAAATCCGCAAACTTTTAGCATCATTATATCCATGACTTTAAATTTATGAGTTCCTATGGCGACCTCGAGTTAATATACAATAATAACCATGTTCACAATCAAATATCTATAAAATATTTAGTGGATTTCTTACTACATATACAGGCTCTCGGCAAAAGCTATTAGGTTCGCGTGAATCCACATTATACATTGTGGATCTGCCCCTTACTATAATTTCCTGTGAATTTAGAAAAACATAGCATGCTGTAGTCCACCTTCACGGCAAACCCCTTTCCTAATATAGCAGTGGAAGAACACTAAAAGAAGGAAAACTGAAAATAAAACTCAAATAGAATACACAGGTCGAAGATAGAACTTACAGCAAATTGGCATACTGAATATCAGCCTCAATTGCCTTTAAAGAATCTTCATAGGAAGTAGATTTCACAAGCTGATAGTAATTCGTCATCATTTATGCAATTTTCCCAAGCGAAAACTTTCAATTTTGTAACCAATTTTTTGTCAAACGTAACGCACAGTGAGTTGATCACTACTCACTGATCAGTGAGCCAAAAGAAAAACTTCTTTTCTAACTGGGCAATGGTGAGAACACTCAATTGGGTATATATATGCAAAAAGGAAAACTGCGTTGTAATGTACAAGTTGATTAGTACAAAGTTGAACACTTAGAATGAAGAAGATGAAGTAGTCAAATGGAGTATTTACTTAGACAAAGTGGTTATTGACACAGTCTTAAAATCGCATTATAGAGGAAGAAGAAGAAGAATAGAGTGAGAGAAATAAACAGAGAAGATTTGGTCTTTGGTATGGTTGGTTGCTTACTGTTACAAGTTAATACTAGCCTGTATGATACTATGACCTTGCTTCTTTTTGCTAAATTTATTTATTTATTTATTTTTTTTAAAAAAAGTTAAGGTGTTTGGCCTAAATTTTAGAAAGAAAAAATATTTTAGAGTAAATGTAGAAGTAATTTTTTTAAATAAATTTTTGAAAAAGTACTTTTGAAAAAAATATACTTAGGGGTCGTTTGGTTGCTGCGATTAGTTATTTCGGGATTAGTTATTCCACCTTTTCATGTGGATAAAAAAATATTATAATCCCGGGATAAATTATACCTCAATTTTCTACCAACCAAACATGGGATAAACTTTTAGTCTCGGGATTAATTGTTCCTTATCCCTCATACCAAACGAGCCCTTAAAAGTACTTTCTGAAAGTTTGACCAAACAGTAATTGATGCTCAAAAGTATTTTTCAAATTAATTAGACAAACACAAACCGGTTCTTGTGGAAAGTACTTTTTTTAAAAATATTTTAAAAATAAGTACTCATTTTAAAAAGTATTGCCAAACAGGCTATAAAGGTTTTGACTGTTGAGTTCTCTAGAACGGAAGCTCCCAAGGCAAATTTGACTTTAATTTCCTTATATAATCAGGAGGGGGAAAAAGCAGGAGAAGATTGCAATTATTTTTTTTTAAATTTTTTGTTCTGGTAGTTTCGATTGGAAATTTTGAAGTTATTATGATGAAAAAAAAAGGTGTCCAAGGACAAGTTTTCAGCTCATAAAATCAAAGCTAGTAATAAATACGAAGAGCGTTGGAGGAAATTAATTTAATACACGGAGCACAAGTCAAAGCTTCTTTTTTACAGTAGAAAAATCAAATTATTATAACGGGCACATTTCTAAACTCCTCAAAGAATAAATAACGCCTTTATTTTTTCTTTGAGCAGGAAATCAAATATTTTGAGGTATAAGAGAAATTATCCATACTTAAAACAAAAGCATTACTAGTCATTAATTATATGGCCAAAAACCAATAAATTGGATGCTATATTTGGCAATTATGTAATCTGAAAATTAAATCCCTAAAGCTGCATTACTCCAAATTTTTCTTCATCTTTTGCTTTTCGTAGCAAATTATGTACAGTTAAATCTATCTATAACAGTTTCGTTTGTTCCGAATATTTTTGAATGTTATAGCGAATTATTGTTATAGAGAACATATATTATAATAAAAAATGACATTTGGTTCCGAAACTTTTTTGTTTTTATAGTGAAGTATTGTTATATACTGAGGTTGTTACAGAGAGATCTAACTGTATATGTAATCATTGTTTTGTTAAAATGGAAGGAGAAAATGACTTGTTAAGTATTGTTTTCAAATTTATTTGTATATTTAATACATATATCTTCTTAAAAGTAATTCCTAAAATACAAGAATATCGGTTGGAATAGTGACGCCTTCGTGAAGTTGTTGAACTAACAATAAACCAATTGTTTATAATTTTAAGGCCAAAAAAAATAAAAATAATTAAAAGAAAAGAAAGGTCCACAATTCAATTTGAAAATTTTGACGGCGGAAAAGAAGCTGTGACATTATTTAGCAGCTACTAATTGAAAGCCACTAAACAATTCGATGGCTTTATTTTAAATATGTTTGCAAAGAATACAGATTGAAAACAGGGTGAGTTTTGAAGCTTTGAGTGACAAAGATAAAGTTTGCAAATACAGATCATGGGACGTAAATTTTATGCAATTTTTTTTCTTTTATATTAATGCGAGAAAAAAACTCTTTATTCGCTAATTTTTACAACATATTAACGTACAGTTACAGGGGAAAAAACACGATTTTTGGTGAAAGCAAAACGTAAAAGGTCTTACTGGCAATTATTAGCCATAGGCTCGTCGGATTAGCAAAAAAAATTAAACTATATCAATGATAAAAAAAAAAAAAAAAAAAAAAAAAAAAAAAAAAATTCAATGACTTGGTCAAAATACGGCACTATTATAACCTATTTGGCCAAATTTCTAAAATCAAACTTATTTTGATTTTCTTCTAAATTATGCATATATTATTCCATCACTGGCTATTTTTAGTTTAAACAACTGGGTAAGCGGCTATTTGAGTTAATTCTTCTTTTCTTTATTAGTTTGATATAACTCAGAAAAATATTGTAGACGTATCTTCTGATTTTAGTTGATGACAAATGAGAACGTCATTCCACCGATTACATTATTTTTTCTTTGGTCTAAAATAAATGTTGTTTAAAGTTTTGACACACTCATTAACAAAGTTGGTTTAGTAATATTAATGATCGGTGCTATTTGACTCAACTATCATTTATATTCTGTTCAAATTATCCTTTATCTCACATTAGATTTCTTAGATGATTAGTCGGAGTAAGATAGATTTTAATTTTTTTTAAATATTTTTGTAGTTCTCTAAATTTATTTTTGACCAAATTGGTTTTGCTAAAACGATACTTATTTTGGACCGAAGCAAATATATATTTTCTATTTTTAAACTTATCTAAGTTGGGGTATAATAATGGAGAAGAGGTTTTTGGTATAATTAAATTGTACATCAATGATGTATCTAGACTGCAACTTCCTAGTTATTTCAGCCACCAAATTTATTTCGTGCGTTTTCTCATTTCGTTGGGAAGGGAATAAGAGTTTTCTAGCTTAGCAGAAAATTCATCAAATTCACCTAAGTAGTAAGTACAATTAATGGATGAAAAAACAAGTGAACTACCAACGCCTAATGGAATAGGAATCACTACCACAGGCAATGAAGGAGACGTGCAACTCTAGTTAGACCTTGCCTCATGTCTCCTCGAGAAGGTCAAAGTTTGAATTCAATACATAGAGAATGTAGACTACTTGCCTATTTTAATTGTATTTGACTTGTTAGCAGATCAACCAAACCCAAACTACCTTATTAACTATTCGTGGAATTTTTAGTCATAGGCATACTCTTGAATCTTGGCAAATGTCATCAAAGTACAAAACCATCTTAGATGTTAAATCTTTTAGTCCTATTTCAATTGTCATTTGTTTTATACTTCAATACCTTACGAGGGGTGATTTGTGTGGTGTTCAATTTTTTTTTACTGGATTATAGAAGACCTGGTTCTTCTATGCGTTTCTTATACTATAGTTGCGGAATAATAATTGCAGAAAGTAAAAAACACAAGTATTTTTATGTGCAAAATAGCCGGCTCAAAAGGTAAAAAAAATCACGACCTACTACCCAGTAGGATTTTTCCCAACGCTTCAGTAAATCACTGAGCCAAAAACAACGTTTACAAAACTCTTGTAAACCTAAGGATTATTCTTACCCCTTGTGGCAACCAGCCGCAGGCTGTTGCAACAGCTTCAGGTTAACTCTAACTTGAACAATGCAACTCGAAGTACCTAGTACAAGTGCTTCTAAAGAAAGCTGAAAGGTACAACTTAAAATTCCTACTACAATTGAACTAGAATAAAAGGCACACACTTGGAACTGGTTCTTCTATCTGGTTCATGTAGCTTCAGGTTCGCACACTTAAATCATACAGGAACTGCTTGGAAAATGCCTTGCTAATTTTGCTCTTAACTCTTGCTTAACTTCAGCGTTTATGTGTCACCTGTAAAAGAGAACGAGCTATATAAGAAATAATGCTCTAGAGTTCAAATACTTTACTCTTCCATGGTGGAAGAGTTATAGTCAACTTCAACTTCTAACTCTTCCCTTATGTTGGATCGAGTTCTTTTCAAGTAAGTATGCCTGCTTCTTATCAAATATGCAACATTTTCGTTCAAGAGATATCAAATATAACCAGTTATGTTTATCTCCTTCACGTGCATGCCTTGTGCTCGAATCTACCCGTGTCTGTGTACACTGTGTATGGACCTGGTTCATGCGTGTGTTTCTTTGTCAATCATCAAAACAAACTTCCTCAGGCCAACAAATTCCCCCTTTCTAATGATGACAAACTCAGTGCTTTTCATAAGTATGAAACTTGTTTCAACTCAGCTCAAAATCAACACAATGTTAGAACACTTTTCATTTTAAAGTCACCAATCATTAAAGACCAGTTCATTAGGTTATAAACATCACAGTCCAAAGTAAAAAGCACAACCTATCTTCCCCCTTTTGGCATCATCGAAAAGTTGCATAATTATGTCAGATAATCAGATTTTAGCAGATCTTACTCATGGCCATTTGGGCTACTTCAAATGCAATCATAGAGTCAAGTATTACTTATTAATCTAATGAGATTAGCCATCTAAGAAGCATCGACAAAAAATTAGAGAAAAGCAGTTGATTATCATTGATACGAGTCATCTACAAAGCATTGAAGGAAATAAAGGTACTGCATAATGAGCAACAAAAATGCCAAAAATCCCATCTGGGTCACTAATTTTCTAACAGGCTAGTGAAAGTACAAGAGGGGGGGGGGGGTGAATTGTTTATTTTTATATTTTAATCGCTACAAGTTGACTAGTTTTCTAATTAGTCGACTAGATGTAATAACTTGATAACAGTAAAAGCAGAATTTAAGATGCAAAAAGAACAGGAATTAAAGACACCGGAATTTTTATACTGGTTCGGATTCAATGTGAATCCTAGTCCAATACCCTTGGGTTGAAAGGGAGTTCTCTTTCAGTGAATGAGTTTCTCGAGTACATAGTGAATGGTGTGATCTACACCAATAGCTCAGTTCCCATATCACTTGTTTCTCTTTCATACAATGCCTCGCCAGTGTTATTCTCTCTTTCTTCTCTAATTTGTTACACAACAGATCTAGTAGAGCTACAATGTTTGTTTGCAGTAGAAAAAAGAGAGGGTATTTGGTTCGATCAAAGTATGTTTGTCTAAGCCTTAAGTTTGTGTATAAATACTTTGTAGGAGGTTGTTTGCTGAAGAGATCTGACAACCCAAGAGATTTGATCCTTGGAAAGAGATTGATTCTTTCCAAGAATAAGGCTATTTGCCGTTGCTCTTACTTGATGAGAGGGCATTGATATCTTTCCTTCTACAGAT